GGAGAGGTGCTCCAGCCCTCTGATCATCTTCGTGGCCCTCCTCTGGACCAACTCCAACAGGTCCATGTCCTTCTTATGTTGGAGGCCCCAGACCTGAATGCAGTAATCCAGGTGGAGTCTCACCAGAGCAGAGTGGAGGGGGAGAGTCACATCCCTCGACCTGCTGGTCACGCTTCTTTTGATGGAGCCCAGGATACGGTTGGTTTTCTGGGCTGTGAGCGCACATTGCCAGGTTATGTTAAACTCATCAACCAACACGCCCAAGTCCTTCTCCTCAGGGATGATCTCAATCCATTTTCTGCCCAGCATACAGTTGGTGATTTCCTAGGTCTCTAGTCTATCCAGATCTCTCTGTAAGGCCTTTCTGCCCTCGAGGGAGTCCACAGCTCCTCCTAATATAGTATTATCAGCAAACTCAATGTACATTCAACTCCTGCATCCAGATGATTTATAAAAACATTAAAGAGCACTGGCCATAAAATTGAGCCCTGAGATACCCCACTGGTGACTGGCCACCAGCCTGATGTAACACCATTTACTGTAACTCTTTGAGCCTGACCTGTCAGCCAATTGCTCACCCATTGTATTATGGACTTGTCTAGCTGTATGCTGGACACTTTGTCCAGAAGGATATTGTGAGAGACAGTATCAAAAGTTTTGCTAAGATCCAAAAAATCCATATCTGCTAGCTTCCCTTGGTCAACTAGATTGGTGACCTTGTCATAAAAGGAAATTAAGTTAATTAAACAGGACTTTCCCCTTGTGAACCCATGTTGGCTATGACCAATGACTGCATTATCTCCCAAATGTTTCTCAACAACTCCCAGAAAAACCTTCTCCATAATTTTCCCAGGCACTGAAGTGAGACTGATAGGCCTGTAATTACCAGGGTCTTCATTCTTACCCTTTTTGAAAATTGGGATGTTTGCTTCTGCTTTGGTGCTGGGTTTTTCTCCAGCATCCAAAAGGCCAGGTCATCCTTTTTGGTGTTTTTAATGGCAGTTGAAGTGTTGTGTATGTAGAAATAAATTTCTGCACTGATTCTGATGTCAGTTCTGGCAGTTCCAGTCCAAAATTGCAGTTCACAGTGATTTCTATCAATACATATCTTCAGATGCAAGTTTTTCAAAGACTGTGGCTTGTCTGTTATATCCTATTTTGTTTGGCAGCAACAGACAGTCTTTTATAAAATACAGAGTAGGTTTCCCACACTGGACTTGAAAGGCCCTAATATAGGTATCAAAGAAGTCTCCATGTGTAGCACAGTTTTGTTCTTGTATTTGTAGTAAAGAAACACTTGAAGATATAGTTCAGTGCAGACATCCTATTATTTCAGACATGGGAAATTCAGTCTTCTGCTCAGAAAAATTTTCTTCCTTCTCTGTGTCATGGAACAAGGTAAAGTAGCCCTAATTCAAAGTAAGAACAAGGCCATAAGCTTTCATAGAAAATCCTGTCTGAGAATCCTGCCTCTCATTTTGCAGAGGTTTCTGTCCTGGCTTTGACTTTTGAGGGAGATACCTGCCATTAAATCATGCTTATACAGCATGATTTCTGGTTTAGACTTGTGTGTCTTTCAAGTAGCATTGCCCACATCATTTCTATGATTGGACTGTTACCCCTTCTGATCGGAAGGAAAGTACAGCACTTCTTTAGCCAGTTTGGTGGCAGAGGCTAAGACAATGTGAGCTTGATGTCATTCACATCAGTGTCCTTTGCCTACTGATACTGAACAAATGGTAACTGAGCTTGGCTCCTTCTTTTGGGTCCCTCTTATTGTACTCGGTTATTGGTAAAAAGTCTGTATTGCTACGCTCTTCTGGTGTAGTGCTAGGACAGGAAGCACAACCTGCAGGGCACATGGCCCAGATACTGATGGAGCCAGAATTCAGCAGCCACTGGATTGAATACAGTCTCCTTTGGCAGCTTCTGCAGAGTCACTTAGTCTTGTTTTTGCCTCCACTGGTAGAAATAGATCATGGAACAGATCCTCCTGGAAGCTATGCGAAGGCACATGGAGGACAGGGAGCTGATTCGAGACAGCCAGCATGGCTTCACCAAGGGCAAGTCCTGCTTGACTAACATAGTGGCCTTCTATGATGGAGTGACTACATCAGTGGACACGGGAAGGGCTACAGATGTCATCTACCTGGACCTCTGTAAGGCCTTTGACACGGTCCCCCACAACATCCTTCTCTCTAAATTTGAAAGATACGGATTTGATGGGTGGACTGTCCGGTGGGTGAGGAATTGTTTAGATGGTCACATTCCGAGGGTAGTGGTCAATGGCTCAAAGTCCAGATGGAGACTGGTGACGAGTGGCATCCCACAGGGGTCCGTATTGGGACCGGTACTGTTTAATATCTTCATCAATGACATTGACAGTGGGATCGAGTGCACCCTCAGCAAGTTTGCAGA